TAACTATAAGTTAATTTACAAGTGCACACCATCTGAAATATCCCCGATGAATGGGATTACAAATAGACTCCTTTCTAAATGATAAAAAATCCATGCAGCAATAATGAACTTTATTGGTTTATAAACGCCTATGAGAAGTAACATCACCTGTTGCAGCGGATTGACACTATTTGTAGGTGTACTTTTTCTAGACACGGATCATCGATTACATGTCTGTATTTTGAGATAGAAAATATATCCTCGCCTAGTATTAATTAATTTAAAATAGATCCCGAGGGGGCGATGTGCGTCATTGTCCCTTTGTTTCTACCTCTTTTGTTACTATGGGGCTTCGCTGCAGGTTTTGATAAAAACGTTAGATTCCACTGTAGTAGCTGAGAGAAACGACTGTTGTCATGTACACAAACATTACTCAGCTTCCCGAACCATCTAGCCCGAGCTTCCTTTGGCCCTGGCGCTAGACTTAGACATTTTGACAGATATATGTGGCATCCACCTGTAAAAATGTCTGTCTGGTGTCAGGGCCAGAGGAAACTCGGGCTGCCATTCATCTGGTGTCAGGGCCAGAGCAAACTCGGGCTGCCATTCACCTGTAAAAATGTCTGTCGGGTGTCAGGGCCAGAGGAAACTGGGGCTGCCATTCACCTGTAAAAATGTCTGTCGGGTGTCAGGGCCAGAGGAAACTGGGGCTGCCATTCACCTGTAAAAATGTCTGTCGGGTGTCAGGGCCAGAGGAAACTGGGGCTGCCATTCACCTGTAAAAATGTCTGTCTGGCGTCAGCGCCAGAGGAAACTCGGGCTGCCATTCACCTGGAAAAATGTCTGTCTGGTGTCAGGGCCAGAGGAAACCCGGGCTGCCATTCATCTGGTGTCAGGGCCAGAGGAAACTCGGGCTACCATTCACCTGTAAAAATGTCTATCTGGGGTCAGGGCCAGAGGAAACTCGGGCTGCCATTCACCTGGACTGGTTATACCAACGCGTTCTCCTGCCATATAGCTGAAAATGACTTTAAGCTATGTTTCGTCTGCAGAAAAGACAAAACACTAATTCGAAATTATCTGCAATAGCATTAATACATAATCGAGACCTTGAGTAGCCTCTGCTTCGAGTAATCCTACAGAAAGAGTAAGCATTATTTGAAAATCATTCTGATGCCTCTGAGATAGACGATTTTCTAAACGGGTAAACATCTGTCATTCCTACGGCTTCAACTTCACTGTCAAACCTTTTTGCCAAACTCTATCAAATTGTATGAGTGTTTCTTTTCTTTAAGGGCACCACATATTTGGTGATAAATATCAGTTGGTAAACTGTAGAATGATCAGGCATAAAACACGGGCCCTACTTTTAAAACAGAGACTTTTCTATAAAACAACTGGAGAGCTCTTTGAAAATCACTCTTTAAATTTGCCTGTAGTGGGAAGGAGAATGTCTGACTCCCTATTGAAACAAGGACATGGCATTGGCTAATTTCCGTGTATCTGGATAAAACCCTGTTATTTATATAAAATTTAAGTCACACTGAAAATGTTTCGAGGGGAATACAAAGTTTGTGCTGTTTCCTCCCCACCCGAGGCCATGCCAAGCTTCAGAATCTGCAGAACATATCGCATGTCAGTAAAATTTACCTCGGCAGATCAAAATTGTTTGTCATTTTTGGCCTCGATAACAAGAACAGCCATGTCAGTAAAAAGATCCACTAGATAATGTGATTGTTGTGAAGTACCAGAAATATTTTAATTAAGGCCGTTTATTTAATCGTTTAAAACGTTTTGATATGATTAAGGATAACAAGAGGGTGTCTATCAATGATTTCGTGTCATGTTCAACAATACACATGCGCGTTTTTTCATATTATTAACTTAGTTTTGCTTTATTTTTTCGATATCTGTGAACGATTGGTTGGCCTGGCGATCTTGTGCAGCCCATTCTCATTCTTAAGTTCTGTACTTAGTTAAGAGACTATTCAAGGCTTGTTATTGGGGTTATCTCAACATTTGTTCTTCTGTTTTGCCAAATTTAACCTGTTTAAATTTTTGCCACTATATTTCTTGACGATAGTATTTGTTATTAGTGAGACCGAAAAAACGTCCGCCCTACACTGGTAAAAACATGTATTCACCAAGTGTTGTTGTGTACTACTGTTCGCTCTAACGATAAATTCACATTCGTTACCGAGGACGAAAATTGGGAAGGGAGAGTGCGGCAAGAAATTGAGCAAAACAGTTTGTTGATATAGCTATGATAAGCATTTGTGTAATGTATGTACCATGTGTTTTTTGAATGGTTCAAACAACAAATTAAAAATTGTGATGCTTTTATCACTTCAGGACAGCCAAGGCTTGACAATGGACGGCGGGTCCTTGGACCGGAAGATGCAGAGGTCGAGTCTGTTCCATAACTTGAAGTTGAAAAAACACAGACTGAATTCTTTGATGGGTAGCGGTGACAGCGTGATGGGATCGGACGGGGTTATGTCCAGTTTTGAGTCGTCCGAGTTTGACCTTACCAGTCAACATTCGTCAAGTGGCGAAAGTGACAGTGGTTACGGCAGTACCCGAGTAAGACGAAGGAAAAGGGTAAAAGGCCAGCTATCTCACAAGGGTGATATCAAAGCCACAACACTTGTGAAGGAAGTGAAAAAGGAAAATGAACCAAAGACAATGGGAAAACAATTACCTCAGTTTAGTTTTGCTTACTGTGGATTTCCCCCAGAAATGGTCAATGCACAGAATGCCGCACTTTCAGATTATAAAGACGAAAATGGCCATGGACGTGCAAGCGTTGGATTTATTCCAGTTTTGACTCACATGGTTCCACAGTGTACCAGTGGTGCTGGGGATAGCACAGGCAAGGAAGCACAGGACAAAACTCCAAATGAAATACCTACCGTTGATACTGACGGAATAAAACCCATTATTCTAACTCAGTTCCCACCAACGTTCATAATGACAGCTAAAGGCCCTGTGCCCGTCATCAGTTCCTGTGGCCCTGGAGGGGTACCTCAGTTTCCGTTGCTAAACGTGAACAATCCCGACCAGAAAAGGATGGAGCAGTTTGTTCAAATGTTCACACCTGAACAATTGGCCGGGATACAGGCGTCTCGGAATCAACGGGACTGTCAAAGTCATACAAACGCTTCATATACCCAAAACGAACAGCCGAACACGGCAGCTCATGCTTACAGCTTCATTGAACACTATACAAACGGAAAGTTTGTGTACAAAGGGATTCTGAAAAAGGAAGATTGTGTGACGTCAGAAACTGATCCTGTTCCCATTGCAACGGTGTCACAAGCATGCGCCGATGACGAACTAGAGGAACAGCTTATATGTGCCATCTGCAATGATCGAGCGACCGGTCTCCACTACGGCATCATTACATGTGAAGGGTAAAATTTTGTTATTTCTTATGTAGGTCCCCCTTTTTTTTACTAGCGCATGCCCTGCGTATTCTTTTTAGTTCAGTATGCGTATGGTTTAGGAATGCTCCGGTATAATGCCGAAGTCTTTAGATTTTGTAGAATCTAGTTGTCTTATTACTCCCGGTCTTGTTTTATGACATTATCATCAATGACATTTAAAATTGATTTTAGCCCTGTTTCTGTTTATAGTTGTCATTTTTCGCTCCGGTAAATGGTTTTCCGGATAATTGCCTAATGAGTTTTTTTCAAAATATTATCCGATTGTGTTAATAGTATAAATTCTGTGCTCATTGATTTGCGAAACAAAGAAATCAAGCATGGATATCATATACTTCTGTAAAATATGTATCCTTATTTTGTGTTTTATCAGTTTGAAAACATGGTGGTTTTTGATGTTTAGCGCATTTGCTCCGTCAAAAGCTTACTAATCCAAAGGCAGAGGATCAGACCATAAAGAGAAGATCGTTAACAGTTAAAGGCTAATACTTGAGTACGGGTAAAAGTTAGCGGCGATAACGTAGCTTTCTGACGACGAGAGATTTTTTTTATATATTAGGGTAAAAGTATGTTGACATCATAGTTCACGAAACATCCTTTAACCTACAGAACTCTTAACAATGTAAACTGAAGGGTATGACCTCTCTGCCAGGGACAGGAGGACTGGGTCCAGAAAGAGAATAAGATTAATCTTGCGTAAAAGTCTGTTTCTTAGATACGAAAGAATAAACCATTCCATCTGAATTGGCATTGTCATCCCTGGGCGGAGGGAATTCAAAGCTGTTTAAATGAAGTCTGTGACCCTCCCCCTGCAGAAGTGGGCGGGACATAAGGGGGAAATAAGGATTCATCTGTTTAGAAAGGCAACCTTTCAATGTTCAGATGACAAAATAATTTAGTGCGCGATACAGACCTGATGAACCTCTTGTTTATTTATACAGATGTAAAGGGTTCTTCAAACGGACAGTCCAGAACAAACGAGTATACAACTGTGTGGGCAGTGAGAACTGTGAGATCAACAAGCTACAGCGAAATAGGTGTCAGTTCTGTCGCTTCAAAAAGTGCCTACAGATGGGAATGGTCCTAGCAGGTAATTACATACTGTTATACCAATACACATCTGGTTCGGTTTGAATACCCTCAGAGACGAAACGTTTTCAAAAATATCCCAAAACAACTGTACAGTTATACTCCATAATATTTGTCACTGCTTAGGACATAATCAAACAAGTCTTAAAATACAACGGGAAGCGTCCCATATTAGGCGCTGGACTTCTATCTTAAGTCAGCATGATCAGTTTTGATCGACAGGTCTTTGAAGACAGGAATCTTAGTCATGCTTTCTAAGACAGAATTCATCTTATCGTACAAATACGTTGAAATGTACACCTATAGATTTCGCCCTTTAATTGTTGTTTAATTTTAAAATATGACTTGTTGATCAAATTGAACGTTGAAGAGTCGTTAACATAACATTACACACGTGCATGTACTTTATAGTATTTATAACTCAAAATTGTCTTAATATTTTGAAGCTGTACGAGAAGACAGGATGCCTGGCGGACGAAACTCGGGGGCTGTGTACAATCTATATAAGGTAAACTTACTCAAAGCAAGTAGATGATGTTTGCTGTAAGCAAACTAAGGTAAATTATCATATTGAAATGTACAGGAGGCACGGTAATGAGTCGTGCTAGAATTGTTGGATGCTGGCTGTGAGCGCCGAAATGGCAGTACCGGCTCACAGGGAATTGAGAACGATATTGGCTGGTTGCAAAGGCCCTATAACACGAATAATTAATGGGAACCGCTTTGAGACGACCTACGAACTAAGTTGTGATAACACCGTTTACATTACCTCAAATTATTATTATTACAGACTATGTACAATTATAATATTCATGTGTACAACTATATATAGAGTTGATCTATCATAAATTAACATTTTGATGAACTCATACATGATATGGCTTAATGGTTAAATTTTGTTTAACTCCTATTAACAGGTAAGGTAATTTAAGGACGTGTCTCCATGTGTGTAATGTATGCGTGCTTGCGTGTGTGTAACTGTATGCAGGAGACCTGATATGTTGTGTGCTTGCCTCCTTGTGATAGCGCGGATTTGATGCCGACTTTATAGTGCTATCTGACTGAAATACCATGCCGAAGACAACCATTACAGCATTCCGCCCAGTCAAATTATACTGACAACTGGTGAACCAGGTTTTACCATTCCCCTAAATGCTGAATGTTAAGCATGGAATAACAACTACCATTTTTAAGGACTTTGGTATGTCCTTGCCTGGGGACAGAACCCATTGTCTTCCTCACCTGGGCGAGCGCTCAACATTAAGGCCAAAAGTGAGATGTTGCCAAGCAAGGCGCTAGGAAATAAAAAGTAGTTAGAAGTAGAAATAAAGATAAAGATCCCAAAAATTGCAATGGACGCAGCAGATTTATTTTGGTCGTTTTTGTGTTTCCAAATAGAGGACACCAAAGCAAATCCCTAATTCTGCAGGGGGTTCCCGCATTATTCGCCTCCTACGATACATGCAGTGGGTAACAGCAGGTGTATTCTTTTCCCGACCCCCCACATGCAGGGGTGTATAAATGGTATACTATATGAATATTTCTTATACTATACAAATACATTATAGATAAAACACCGCTATATTGCTATAACCATTTGTAACTGATATGTTTCAAACTGATCTGCCTTTTTGGTATCGCTCGAGATAAAAATCGTGCTTTCTTTCTTTCAGGTGAAGTACAAGAAACACAAGAAGAAAGATCAAATGGTCAAGTTGTTCAAAGAACAAGTCGCCCAGATCAAGGTTGACGGTAGTGATGGTAAGATTGAGACGGAGATGATTACAGAACGGAAACGAATGCCCGTGCCATTCAGAGTCTCATTCGACCAGCAAGGCGTGCCACAAATTGTTCCAAGAGAACACAGATCTCATTTAAGGCCAGGCACCACACTCTCTAGTAACACAAAGTTTTCGACATCACAGCAGAAAATGTGGGAGTCGGATATGAATAGCAGTTGTGGATCCCAAGAATCAGTCATGTCGCAAAACACATCGTACCCATGTGCCTCTTACTATACAAATTCAATGCGCAGCTCACAAGGACAAATGGCCTTTTTTCAGAACTCTAGTCATTTGAATAACCAAGAAAATCAGCGTTACGTTCCTCCGGAGTTGCTAGTGGATCGGTCAAGCATGACCAGTGATCAACTCTACACACATGATTCGACTAGTGACAGGGAACATGGAGATCTGTGTCAAAGAAATGATCAACAAGACCAATCATCTTTTTTAGCTCCAGGACCTGTTCTTGCCAAGAAATTTAACAGGACTAGCGACCACCTGATCAGCTTACTGGAGTCGGGACTTCCTCCAAAAATAAAGGAGGATTTTCCACGCACTGATTGTCGTGTTATGTCATGTGACCCATCTGTTACATCACAAGACAACCTCGTTGCAGACTTTCCATTTTCTCAACCTAAATGCGTGAAGGAGTCAGATCTCGACCGAACATCGACAGATAACGTTGTCAGGGTAAATACTCTACGTCATTTGTTAAACACCAGGACTGCGTGTGAAAATACCAGCACTGCCTATTCTGTATCGTCAAACGATAGTATGACAGATGGAACAGATAAAACCTCATATTCAAAGCCAATGAGTAACACCTATCGGAGATACTGGAGCGACGATAGGCTTACATGTAAGTGTGACGAGAGTGATTACAAACGCCGTACTGTGACGACATCACGATGTGATCAACAACAAAGAAATTCGTCAAAAGTGAAAAGTCGGGATTTTTCGATAACAAAACACAGCGAAACGATATGTGATCATAACAGAGCGATATCAGCTATTGAAAATATGGAACATGAAACTGAGAAAATCCCAGTAAAGGAGTATGTATCGGAGCGAGAGTCGTCCATAGGTTGTCAACGTTTGGTTTATTCAACGACTGGTGACGTAACAGAAGGTTACTATTCATCAGCTCCTATTACACAGCAAGATTGCGAACATAAGCGTCATTTGCATGAGAGCCAATTTGTTGAGCGTCTCTTAGGGACGCCAATTCATAACCCGGTGGGGGAATGTCACTCACTTGAAAACACGACACATAGTTGTAAACCACACAGATATATGTCAGATAATCTACTACAGGAGAACAACAGAGAAAGAGGCTATTCACACGTATCAGCTTTGAGTTTAGCACAGAACCGACCACCAAGTTCACAGTGCTATCAACAGACTCGTTGCTCATCAGAAACGTTGAAAGTGAAAGACTGTGGTGAAAGAGAATATAACTTTGCTCAAAATCATATACAAGACCGATATGCTTTACATCAACGCAAAACTAATATTGGTCGGAATCAGCAAATACCCAACCCGGGAACTCACGACTGTAGAAAGGACCAGCAGACCTCGCAGATGGTCACTGCTCGGCAGCCGGTCACTGCGACTTACAGCGATACCAAGGACAACCGTTCTTCACATATTGTGGATAACCGTATCAGTGCATTAGAGGAAACAATGAAAGTTTGGCCGTCATGGCACGAACAACATGATGGAGTTCGGGAATATCAGTCAGGAGTTAGGAGGAATATCAATAGACAGGCAACCGTAGGTTATCAGACAGACCGACAGCTCAATGAAACTCCAACAAGAAGTCCTTTGAGTATTAGCCACCGCTGTGAACTGTTGACCGATCAAAATCGTTTCCAAGGTGACAATGGATCAAAGAAAATATTGAAAACACAAGATGTGCTCTGTGAAAGAGATAATCTCCAATACGAATCGTATCAACATACCAGTAAGACAATACAAGAAACAGAAAGTCATGTGACCGATGATGATGAAATGTCAGACACGAGTCATAGGTCGGAGAGGAACTTGCAAGATGATCACTCAAGGTCTGATCGGACGGCATCCGACAAAGTAATAAACGAATTCGGTTTTAGCGAACGACATAAGCAATTTACTTTGCATCCTCTAGACAAGGAACTTTGTGGACCGGAAGTGCATCGTCAGCTCATTCAGGAACTCGTGAATTGTAATAAACTTTTGGATATTTCAGGTTCATATAATTTCGACCAATCTGATTGGATGCATTCAGACTTGACAAGCAATCTCTGTCGTCTCGGCGATGAAATTGTTGGAAAACTAGTGGATTGGACAAGACACTTGCCCTTCTACAACGAGATCCCACTTAACGTTCACTCCCAAATGCTCACAAATCGCTGGCACGAACTTCTGGTGTTGATAACAACCGCTCATCGAGCACTCATTATCCAAGAGCACATCCCCTCGACTGAAGTGACGTATACAAGCTTGCTGAATTTTAACATGCTAAAGCTGGAGAAATACCTGTCTAGGATGTACAAGGAACCTGTCAATCTGGACAAACTGAAAGTCCAGAATGTCATGGAACGAATGGCCATGACTATGTTCAGCTTTCTTCAGATGCGGCTCGGACTCCGGGAGCTTCTGTCGCTACAAATAATCCTCCTTCTTAGTCAAAGTAAGTTTATCGGCTTATTCTAGATTTCTAGTTATTAATATTAAAAAAGATGTTATGGTCACCCTAATTATCAACCCTCTGATAGGTAATATGTTACGACTCCAAATTTAACATTTGAACTTCAAGACGCCATTTAGGTGAAATTGTATAAAGTCCTTGAACATATGTTTCTCCGGCCTTTGAATTGATTTCCTTCTTTTTCCTTGTCTGTGAATTAATTGACATCTCTTATCTGTCGACTAAGTTTTTCACTAGCCTTTGAACTCTAACACTACGTAGTAAATAGGCTACAATGTCTATTATTAACAAAGTACATATCTAATGAGTGAAGACATTTCTTTTCCAGATGAATCGATAAATTGTGCTCAAATTGAAAGCATACAGGATAGGTACACAAGAGCTTTGGAGTGGTATGTAACAACCATATATCCACATGATCCTACCAGACTTAGACAGCTCCTGGTAAGACTACCGGAGATCCAAACGACATCAAGACTGCTTTTGAAGAGCAAGATGATCTACATTCCATTCTTCCTCAATTCGTAAAGTAGATTTTTTTCTCGAATCTTGAATAGCAATGTGGTTTTGACAGTCCTTATTGTAATACCGGAAGTGACGTTTGGGAATACGTAACATTGCATGACGTGTTGTCACGGAGTTTGTTAATCAACTACTGATGCTAAGCTGAAGTTCGCTATAGCTAGAGAAACTGTAACACTATCAGTTCACAAATGGATTAACTGTGAGACAACTAGATTAACTAACTGTGAGACAAATGGATTAGCTGTGAGACAAAAAGATTAACTGTGAGACAAATAGATTAACTGTGAGACAAATAGATTAGCTGTGAGACAAATAGATTAACTGTGAGACAAATGGACAAATAAATTAACTGTGAGACAAATGGACAAATAGATTAACTGTGAGACAAATGGACAAATGGATTAACTGTGAGACAAATGGACAAATGGATTAACTGTGAGACAAATAGATTAACTGTGAGACAAATGGATTTGCTGTGAGACAAATGGACAAATGGATTAGCTGTGAGACAAATGGATTAACTGTGAGACAAATGGATTAGCTAGGAGATGGATGGACAAATAGATTAGCTGTGAGACAAATTGACAAATGGATTCACTGTGATACAAATGGATTATGAACAAGTGGATTAACTATGAGACAAATGGATGAGCTGCTGTGAGACAAAATACTTTATACTGATGGAGAGATGGGTGGAGAGAGGTTTGTTTGGGACTGATGGAGAGATGGGTGGAGAGAGGTTTGTTTGGGATTGATGGAGAGATGGGTGGAGAGAGGTTTGTTTGGGACTGATGGAGAGATGGGTGGAGCGAAGTTTGTTTTGGACTGTGATAATTTTGATGATACAATCATATTTGTTATTGTTTGTTATAATCAATTTGTTTGTAAAGCCCATATAGATAATGCCACACAGGTGTCTTGTCGGTCTTTAATTCCAAGTCTTTATAGCTGTATTTATATTATATTTTCTGTACAATATCAATCTGTACAAAGACATATATTTTTACAATTATATGTTGAAGCGACATGTCCGCATACTCTATTTCAAACTTTCTCGGAAATGAATTCATTTAAAAGGTTTAAACTCCTAACGAATAAATCTTACAATATTTCACGAAAAAATAATCCTTATTATTGATGGGGATCCCAAAATTAATAACAACACAAATCGCCTAAATATGTAAAGCGAACAAAATGATCTATAAGAAATGCAGAAATGTCGGTATAGGTTGTAGGTACATTATGTATGGTGTCTTCAATTTTCTTATTTGATTGACTTGCTATGTTGTAATTTAGCAAACTGATAATCATTTGTCGTATATGATTGGTTATAACAAAACATAAAATGATAAATAGTACTATTTAAGAAAATGTGTCCGGCCGTCTTCTGACAGTAATATTGTAAACTTGTACACAGTGCTGATATATACATGGATACTCGTGTTAAAATAAGGCTTCAGGGTGTTCATTTATGATTTTCGTTGGATGTTGAGATATGATATATTTGCCCATGGTGAAATATATCCACAACTCTTACAATCCAGACCATTTACTCCCATGATGCATCAGCTGGCCATTTTATGTAAATATGTTTTGATCTTGGCACTAAGGAATACAGTGTTGTCATGAGATATATAAGTTAAGTCATCACTGCACATGTATCTATGTATAGCTGTTTACAGTAAACCCATTGTTATTAGAGGATGGTGTTGATAATACTACACGTTGACAAGCTACAGTATGGTAGTCCGGCACAGCTGTGTACTACTGTGTACTAACGTTGTGAATATATTTTAAATATTCCATCAAGTATATTATAATATTTATTAAACTAATCACTTAACATGATATATGGAAGCCTCTATGTAAATTCTTAGTTATCATTGTGCAGCCAGCGCAGTCTTTTATACTCAAGAATATCAATTTTCCATGTTGAATTAGTATAGTGTGTCGTCTTAGTTCTGTATTTATCAGTCCGTCCCTTCATTGTCCATTTAAAGACCACTTATCGGAAACGGCTACAGAATTTTGACCAAGATATTTTTCGACTTTTAACTTTTAAGTTTTATTTATTTATTTATATATTACAGATACTCCTTTCATGACCCTGCTCAAGGGTTGTTTTTTTTTGGGGGGGGGGGGGGGTGGTTCAAGTCATGATGACCACTCGACGTAGAAGGCATTTTTGCCTGATTCCCTAAAATCGTGTTCATGCCAATTTCAAGTTCTGATGATATACAAAATAGCGAGCGAATATGTATAAAATCGGTGAGCGATATGTATAGATTTCATGCCCAAGGGTGTAGGATAGGGATATTCCACCCTCGGGATTTTCAAATTTGATAACACCATCGGCTTTGAATTTTAGAACTTTTGTTTAATGTTAAATATATCACAAGGAAACTGTATATTTATGTGTATATTTTATTGTTATACAATATTTGTATAGCGACTGCCTTATATTAAGGAATTGTGTCGACGGTGCTCAACAATCAAGGTAGTGACAGATAGGCGCAGCATTAGCTGAGAGTGTAATTTTCACTGTGATCTCACTTCAGTACCTCCACGTGAGATTGTGTAGACGTTGTGATTGTTATAGGTTTCAGACAACTCATTTAAAGTGTCGTACCACTTAAATACTACAGAGCATTTTAAACTCCTCTCTGATCAGGTTGAGTTGAGCAATAATGGGTATTTAAGTGTCTTGCTCAAGTACACAGGGGCTAGAAACTGACCTTAGGGAATTTCCCTTTTGCGAAACTTGTACTGTACGTAGAAAGTGCCAAGGTCACCGCACATAGCATTGAACTGTAACGTAACGACAAGAAATAAAGCTTATCATAAACATGATAATTCTCCGGATATCTGCCTTAATATTGCATTGATATCTCAACCGTTTACTATTCAGTATTTGTTTTCATTGCTGTTAATGCCATCAACGTTTTACTATTCATGGATGTTCATATTAAGGGTTTCACTGATAGTAACGTGTTTTATACTCCTTTCTAAATAGCCAATCATAAATCGTTCAATCATAATTCATTGTTTAAAACTTTGATATAGGTAAGTGCTCGACACATGAAAGGGAATATATGTATTACTTAAGGTATAAAGGTTAGCATTATTGTAAGTTTATAACAGTGTTTAACCGGCGAAATAAGTTTCATTTTGTCATAGCAGCTATCCAAACCGTATTCCAATCAAATGATCTTACGTGTCAATGAACATCTTGTTCACGACCATGTATTGGAAGTAAAGCATTAAGGGAACAAACCAGTGGTTTTCATTCGTACATTCCACAATGACCTGAGAATTTGCTATATCTATATTTGGATATAAACTAAGGTGTTCAGAGTAATTTGATAAATTTTAGGAGTTTAGATCGACTTTCGGTAAAAATGACCCCCCCCCCCACTCCCCCCAATGTTTATGATCATTGGGGGTGTCATTTTTACTGAAAGTCGATCTTAGCCCCTAAAAATGTAAAATTACTCTGAACACCTTAGTTTATGTCCAAATATAGCTGTAACAAATTATCAGGTCCCTGTGGTACATTCGAATCGTGCAATAAGTCTGGAATATGTTTCGGATAGCTGCCCTTATGATTTTAAACACCCCCACTCCCTCCCCTGTGATTTTCAGACACTGATATCAGACATTGCTTTATGTTGTTATCAATTGTCTATCACAAGGGAGAAATGTATTTATTCCAACCTAAAACAACGAATGTGCATATTTTCCTTAACAGACACGAGTGCCTTTTGCTAGACTTGTAATTAAGTGAAGTGATCCTCAATGTTGTCGGCTACAATGAGGCCCCGGTTTTCGAGGTTCGTTTATCAGGACTCGTCCGTTGTTATAGGCTACAGGAGAGGTTCGTTTATCTGGACTGGGTTAGTGTTACAGGGTACAGGAGAGGTTCGCTTTCTGGACTAGTTTAGTGTTACATGGTACAGGAGAGGTTCGTTAATCTGGACTGGTTTAGTGTTACAGGTTACAGGAGAGGTTCGTTTAACTCAACTAGATTAGTGTTACAGGGTACAGGAGTGGTTCGTTTACCTGAACTAGGTTAGTGTTACAGGGTACAGAAGAGGTTCGTTTATCTGGACTGGGTTAGTGTTACAGGGGACAGGAGAGGTTCGTTTATCTGAACTAGTTTAGTGTTACAGGGGACAGGAGAGGTTCGTTTATCTGGGCTCGTCCGTTGTTATAGGCTACGGGAGAGGTTCGTTTATTTGGACTCGTCCGTTGTTATAGGATACAGGAGAGGTTCGTTTATCTGGACTAGTCCGTTGTTATAGGCTACAGGAGGGGTTCGTTTATCTGGACTAGTCCGTTGTTATAGGCTACAGGAGAGGGTCGTTTACCTGGACTAGGTTAGTGTTACAGGGTACAGGAGAGGTTCGTTTACCTGAACTAGTTTAGTGTTACAGGGTACAGGAGAGGTTCGTTTATCCGGACTGATTTAATGTTACAGAGTACAGAAGAGGTTCGTTTATCTGGACTTTGTTTAGTGTTACAGGATACAGGAGAGGTTCGTTTATCTGAACTAGTTTAGTGTAACAGGGTACAGGAGAGGTTCGTTTATCTGGACTGGTTTAGTGCTATAGGGTACAGGAGAGGTTCGTTTACCTGGACTAGTTTAGTGTTATAGACAAAATAATGAGTTTTTTTATCATTCAGTGTTGAAGCCTACCGGGGCTTGTCCACTCATGTGGCCTCGTTTTAGTCATGAATACATTGAGAAGTGCAGGCTGTGGCCTTTGTATTGCATAACTTGATGTGGCCTCTGTATTATAACTGTAGAAGGTCTCGCCGAGGCTTCTGTATTAGAACTGTAGAAGATATGGCCGAGGCTCCTGTATTATAACTGTAGAAGGTCTCGCCGAGGCTCCTGTATTAGAACTGCAGAAGGTCTCGCTGATGCTCCTGTATTAGAACAACTGTAGAAGGTCTCGCTGAGGCTCCTGTATTAGAACTGTAGGCCTCGCTGACGCTCCTGTATTAGAACTGTAGAAGGTCTCGCTGAGGCTCCTGTATTAGAACTGTAGAGGGTCTCGCTGAGGCTCCTGTATTAGAACTGTAGAAGGTCTCGCTGACGCTCCTGTATTAGAACTGTAGAAGGTATGGCCGAGGCTCCTGTATTAGAACTGTAGAAGGTCTTGCCGAGGCTCCTGTATTATAACTGTAGAAGGTCTCGCTGAGGCTTCTGTATTAGAACTGTAGAAGGTCTCGCCGAGGCTCCTGTATTAGAACTGCAGAAGGTCTCGCTGAGGCTTCTGTATTAGAACTGTAGAAGGTATCGCCGAGGCTCCTGTATTAGAACTGTAGAAGGTCTCGCTGAGGCTCCTGTATTAGAACTGTAGAAGGTCTCGCTGAGGCTCCTGTATTAGAACTGTAGGAGGTCTCGCTGAGGCTCCTGTATTAGAACTGTAGAAGGTCTCGCTGAGGCTCCTGTATTAGAACTGTAGAAGGTCTCGCTGAGGCTCCTGTATTAGAACTGTAGAAGGTCTCGCTGAGGCTCCTGTATTAGAACTGTAGAAGGTCTCGCTGAGGCTCCTGTATTAGAACTGTAGAAGGTCTCGCTGAGGCTCCTGTATTAGAACTGTAGAAGGTCTCGCTGAGGCTCCTGTATTAGAACTGTAGAAGGTCTCGCTGAGGCTCCTGTATTAGAACTGTAGAAGGTCTCGCTGAGGCTCCTGTATTAGAACTGTAGGCCTCGCTGACGCTCCTGTATTAGAACTGTAGAGGGTCTCGCTGAGGCTTCTGTATTAGAACTGTAGAAGGTCTCGCTGACGCTCCTGTATTAGAACAGTAGAAGGTATGGCCGAGGCTCCTGTATTAGAACTGTAGAAGGTCTCGCCGAGGCTCCTATATTAGAACTGTAGTAGGTCTCGCTGACGCTCCTGTATTAGAACTGTAGGTCTCGCTGACGCTCCTGTATTAGAACTGTAGAAGGTCTCGCTGACGCTCCTGTATCAGAACTGTAGGTCTCGCTGACGCTCCTGTATTAGAAATGTGTCGATTGAGGGGTTTATGCTGTGGCCTCTTGTAAACATTGAACATGCTTGATGTGGCTGCTGTATTTATCTTGTAGCAATTGAGAAGCATGTGCCAATTATGAAGCTCTCACTGTGACTATGACTTGTGTTAGTATTAAAACAAGCGCTATGTGCCCTACCTGTTAGTCGTGTAACCATTTCGGTTACAGCATGTAAAACAATATGCTAAAGAAAATTTAACTCAGTCGATATAGTTTGAATTAACGCTAAACAATGATACTATAAGAAGTTTGCTATGTAGATACTACTGATTCTCCTAACCAAGAGGGTAAGGCCTAATGATAAATACCTATATCATTGTTTTTCAATATTGTTGAGTAATTTTGTTGATGCAGGTTGTTTTGTAGTTATAATTCACTGTACAGGTTGTTTTGTAGTTATAATTCACTGTAAACCGTTTTGTGACTTGGTTGTCTGTTGTTGTCGCCTTTTCAGGAATAACCTTCCACATTGTTTTGAATGAGGTAATCACTTAAGTGCAAGGATTATATGAGAGTTTATATCTCGTAAGGACATGGACATTAATGAGTAATTAAAGGAAGTTTATTCTTTGAAATGTTTCTTTTGTTATTATTATTTTTTTTATTTTTTTACTACAAATCAACATTAAAACGAAACAAAGCACAGCATTAACGTCAAAACGAAACAAAGCACAGCATTAACGTCAATAACGTGCAACAGTTAACGTCAAGTACGAAACAGGCGAAAGCTTCGACGTCAAGTTTTACCAAAGCGTCAACGTCAAATTATACCAAAGCGTCAACGTCAAATTATACCAAAGCGTCAACGTCAAATTATACAAAAGCGTCAACGTCAAATTATATCAGTGTTAACGTTAAATTATACCAAAGTGTCAACGTCAAATTATATCAATGCGTCAACGTCAAATTATACCGAAGCGTCAACGTCAAATTATACCAAAGCGTCAACGTCAAATTATACCAAAGCGTCAACGTCAAATTATACCAAAGCGTCAACGTCAAAATACATGTTTACCGTTGTCAACAATAAGTACAAAAATATCACAGTGGAAGAGTCAAAACAAAATATTAAACAGCATTTGTCAAATTATATCAGAAATTCAACGTTAAAGAAAAAAAATAAAGTTGATAGTGTCAAAAACAAAAATGTCAACGGCATCTCTGTCGAGGACAAACAATACTACAGAGTCGATGTCAAGGACAAACCATACCACAGAGTCAATGTCAAGGACAAACAATACTACAGTGTCAATATCAAGGACTAACCATACTACAGAGTCGATGTCAAGGACAAACCATACTACAGAGTCGATGTCAAGGACAAACAATACCACAGAGTCGATGTCAAGGACAAACCTTACTACAGAGTCAATGTCAAGGACGAAACATACTACAGAGTCAATATCAAGGACAAACTATACCACAGAGTCGATGTCAAGGACAAATCATACTGCAAAGTCAATGTCAAGGACAAACAATACCACAGAGTCGATGTCAAGGACAAAACTTACTACAGAGTCGATGTCAAGGACAAACCATACTACAGAGTCAATTTCAAGGACAAACCATACTACAGAGTCGATGTCAAGGACAAACCATACTACAGAGTCGATGTCAAGGACGAACAATACCACAGAGTCGATGTCAAGAACAAACCTTATTACAGAGTCAATGTCAAGGACAAACTATACTACAGAGTCATGGTCAAGGACGAAACATACTACAGAGTCAATATCAAGGACAAACTATACCACAGAGTCGATGTCAAGGACAAACCATACTACAAAGTCAATGTCAAGGACAAACTATACCACAGAGTCGATGTCAAGGACAAACCATACTACAGAGTCAATGTCAAGGACAAACTATACCACAGAGTCAATGTCAAGGACAAACCATACTACAGAGTCAATATCAAGGACAAACTATACCACAGAGTCGATGTCAAGGACAAACTATACCACAGAGTCGATATCAAGGACAAAGTTATCATAGAGTCTACACAAAGGATCAAATTAACAGGAACCAGGGAAGAAATAAAGCAGAATGTACAGGCATTGACAATAAATAGGTTTACCAACGATCAAAGACACCGCTCAAATTGATTTTTTTATATTAACCTTTATTTCAACTTATTGAAAAACATTTTTATTTTCAATTAATGTAAAAATAATGAAGATTGACAAGGCAACAAATAGCACATCAGAATGGGAGAATAAACTGCGTTTGAAACTTCTTGTCTACATTCGTTTGTTAAGAAATATACTCCTTTTGTTGTTTTATATAAGTATCAATCATATAAAAAATCGATCTGTGATAGAACTGCCATAGATTACAGTAACACTATTGCAATTGTATCTAGAGATATCTTTCACAAGTTTTTAAATTAATTGTAGATGCTAATCCGATCTCGGGATGATTAAGACGAAAACACTAACTATCAGCACACATTAAATTAACAATGTCGTCGTACAGTCTTCACCGCAGAAAACGCTGCAAATATAGTTTTGCATAATAAGCTACCGTTATATTAGAAAATATTTATTACCTAAACTTTGGGTTGTTTATGTTCGTTAACTTTTACTCAACTTGTACGTAATACTAAGTACGTTGTATGTAAATTTATCCATGTTTATCCCAGATGGTTGGTTGACAGACATGGGGCCGTCAAGCTGTTTAGTGCTATTGATAGTTTCGACAAAATAATACATAAATTAGCAATCATTGGCAAAGCTACACAGGAATAATGTGTGAACCAAAAACTTCATTTGATAGTAAACAATAGCCGGTTGGCTTCATTTTGTAAAAGTACTATGTACCTCATAATGTATTTTCTTAACAACACGGCAATGGATAGAAAATTAATATTCATTGGTATTTCTACTTTATCTAAGATTGAAATTAAACGCTCACTAACAGGTTAGCGGCATGTGGGAGTTTTTCGAGAAGCAAATCAAATTCCGATTTCCCTGGCGACATATATTTTGCGAAAGGAAAAACACTTCATCCTCTGTTTTTAATGAATTAACAAGAAGTTCGATGTCTTTATATATCCCAAGTATTCAAATTCCCAGTTCCTTTTCCTCGAGTTCAGAATTTCCCGCGCATCAGAACAGATACGGCCATGGATACAACGGTGAGCCAGCCGGTAGCGAACATGGACGCACGCGCAGGCTGGGGAATTGCGAACAAGTAGGTTATTGTGTGACACATCCGGGAGACAGTAAACAACCGGAAGTGGAAGGCAGCCCAGCAAGGATCGGGACCAGTCAGCACATATAACACGCCGACCAGAACAAACGGAACAACATTTTCAATGTCATTTTGATGGCATCTGAGGGAAACAAAAGTCGATTATGCACGTGGATGAATTTTATGAAATTGCAAAACACGAGCAATATAACACAACGATCTAAAAACTGTCTATATTGGTTAGTACCATATAAATGCAATGCGGGCTATCCAATTTGGATTGAGGAAGCCAGTTCTTACAGTTGTAATTTTAGTAATTGCATATGGTGCCAAATCAGGACAAATTGCTTAATGCTTAAAACACTTTAATTTTGGAAACAAATAACAACTCAATGTTAATAATGCTGTACATTTGACATTATTTTGCTTCAATTACGAAAATGTGCACTTAGCAACATTCTGCTTTTCACCTGTTTAAACGCAAACTCATAAAAGAAATGCAAACTCACTTATTTAAAATCGATAAATTCACATGTTAATTGTTTTAATTAAACGAGGGTTTGTTATGTATTTATAAAACCACCTATATACTGATAGGTCAATAGTGGACAGTGACATTCTGAATATGAAGTGTTGACGTACCTCCTGGTTCGCTCTACGACAACGTCATTAAAGACAGTTGTCTGTCCTTTTTGAAGTCTGTCCTCCATGTTGGCTACCACCTAAAACACGTAAACTGTATAGAAGAACCATACTCTGAAGCCAAACTAACAGCAGAGCAGTGTACTTTCCTTTTAAAACTTAAATGATGGTCAATATTTGAAGCTGTTTTAATGTAAATGCAGCAATGTATACTAGCTAGTATGAGGAGACACTGTCGTGTACACACACTACTGTAATATAAACTTTATTCGTTTTAAAACAGTTATAAAACAAGCTATCCAATCTTTCAACGGGGGAAAATCAACAATTGTCATTTATAACGAATGAGAAAGTATCCTATTTAGACATTTCAACCGACCTTATATGAGCAAGTATTTTGCTAAACCGTGTCTGTACCTAACCATCTGTTAACCCTGTCTGTACCCTACCACTCTCCTGTCTGTACCTAACCATCTGTTAACCCT